AACGTCATATTTGACAGTGTAATCTGGCGCGGCGTATGTGGACTGTTGCGCTGGCATACCTGGGATGGATACCTGGGATACGTGATACATGTCTATATCTGACGGTAACGTTTGCAAGCAAGCCTGCTGGAGGTATCCGGAAAGACCAAAAACAATTTGTTAACCGATATAAATGGTGTTGCCCCTTATAATGACATCTACCTACTCTCGACTAGAGATGACATTCCGTATCTTATATGGCAAGATATCAGTTATCAGAGTCTCGTTTAAAACAAGATGCTGTAAACACATTCAGTAACCTGGTCCAATCGGTTTGCTGAGTCTAAGCTGAGATGACTCAACAATGCGTTTCAACCTCATTTAGAATGTCAAAAGATTTGAGGGCAATCAACACTTTGTATCCTAAGTGCACGGGTACAGAAGCGGAAGTATCCGGGATGGATACTCCTATTTCCGGGAGTACAAGGAGCAGAAGACGTGCCGTTGCCTCGCGATCTGATCGGAAGCCTCGCAGATAAGTTTAGAGTTGATGTAGATAGTTTCGGTAGCTCACTTTCGATTTTCTCGGCTCGCAAAAAGCGAAAAGAGATCGCCTTCTACCGACTACTCGGCTCACCGATGACCAGCGCTCTTCAACTCGGCGAGCTTGCTTTTGTCGGGCCAACGCACTCAGCACAACTGAACGACTTCCAATACGTTGAAATCACGGACCTGACGGATAGCGTGGCTACAGTTAAGATCGTCGGTCCTGATGATGACAAGAACAACGACACTTTCGACATACCTATCGATATCGTCTGATGCAGACTGGCTCCGGAAACAGAACGTCGTTTTTGGCCGGAGTCATACGTCGCCCACACTGTGGCCTTCATCAAGACATCACCAATAGGAGTCGACGGATGGGCATATGGCGTTGTATACAGCGGCCGAAACTACCAATATTCTCCATATTGTGAGTCACGACGGACCAACTCGATTCCAGCTGACGAATACGCAATCGTTGATCAAAGTTGACGCGCTGAACTACGCATTTCAACCAGGCCAGGGTGGCATTAATCCCAGTTGAGCTCCTCCATCGACAAGACGCGCTTTTGGCAGCTTGCCGAAAGCGAAGGTCAGGGATTCCACCCTCAGTCTTGACCAGCCTATCGGTTCCCTTCTCTCCCGATGAGATTGTCCCGTTGGTTAAACCGGCGACGCTCCAGTTAGTGCATGTCCGTCGCCAGCACATCGTTAGCTACTCGAACGCCAGCCGTGCCAACAAACCTGAAGATCTCTATACCGATACGTCGCACATTGTAGAAGAATCAACTACTAGAAAAAGCACTGATG